CCTAATGTTAAAGGGTGACCGGAACATTTCTGTTCACTGACCAGGGAGAGGTGGGGACGGGGCCACCATGATGCTAAACTCACCGGGTGGGTCCGGGTAACACTTTTTGTCCAAAGTTGTAGATAGCTTAACAATCGTGGGCATTTTCTACAGGTTTCACGTGTTTTTTTTTTGTTTTGTTTTTTTTTTCAGATTTAAGAATCTTATACAAAAAGTTTTTTTTTATTTAATCGTTACATAAGTGCACTCAATTAGGAAGAAAACACAATAAATTCTCTCAGTCTTCACTAGCCCATGCTGTACGGGGCTTCAAACTCAAGCAACACAACAGGCAGCACATACAACCTCGTTTCCATGTTGCGCAGTCTTAGTCTTTATAGGGCTTTAAAAAAAACCGTTTTTCGTCAACTTCCCCAACTCGGATTTTCGGGGACTTTTGATATGTTCTAGAGGACATGTTCCTGGACCAAAAACCGTTAAAAAACCTTCTTTCGCAATTAGTGGCAGGTTGACCGACTTTTGGCGAGAAAATGCCTGGACTATAAAAAGAAGCGATGTTTTCGCTGTGTTTTAACCAACCATACTCCGGACAGTTGCAAATACAACGATTCAGAGTGTTTCAACTAAGTGTCATTCAACGGGTCATTTGCAGTCTGAGTGCCGCAACGTGAAACTGCCACTGAAACGGTCGACGGGAAAACAGCATATACGTCACACGGATCAGGACTCAGGAGATGAAGTGCCCGACGACACAGAAGATGAGTTTCTCGGGTCCATCTTTAATGTGGAGGAGAAACGAAAACCTGAGTCTCGCAAATCAGGACTTTCAGCGCCTGCAGTTAAAGTTCCATCGCAGATCGAAGATGTCCAGTTTCAGATAGAAGTAGACACAGGAGGGATACCTTAAATTCTTAATTACGCAGCTTATGAACGGTATTTCAAATACCTTGCACTGAGGCCAGTAGTGAGATCATTCCATGCTTATGCTGGCACACCGCTGGACGTTACGAGACAGATTTTAGTCGACGTGGAGCACAATGGGCAACGGGCAACACTCCTACTTCTAGTTGTTCGTGCAGAACGGTAACCCCTCCCTTACTCGGAAGATCCTGGATGATAAAAATTCGCCTAGCTCGGATAAACTTCTTTCCATCTTTTCACGGTCAGTTCTCCGTGAGTCAAGATAAGGAGATACGGGTCGAACGTCTTAAGAAACTGTACGCTGATGTCTTTAAGCAGGAGCTAGGAACTATTAAAGGTGTCATGGCGAAATTGCACGTAAAGGGAAACGCAACGCCAGTATTTCAGCGGCCACGCCTAGTACCCTACGCCCTTCGTTCCGTTGTGGAAGAAGAACGCATGGAAAATAACGGGGTTCTCAAGCCTGTAGAAGTGAGCGACTAGGCCACGCCCATTATATGTGTTCCTAAGACTGACGGGTCAGTACTTATATGCGGTGATTATAAAGTCCCTACAAAAGTCTTCTTGACTGTAACGTTTTCAATAAAAGCATAGTCAACCCAACTATTTAGACGGAACAGTTCCCTATCCCAACGTTGGAGGTGATACGAGGGCGTGTATCGTCATGGAAGAAATTCACGAAGATTGATCTTCGAAGTGCGTATCAGCAACTGGTTTTAAACGAGGAGTCACAAAAACTGTGTACGATTAACACCCACAAGGGTCTATTTCGGTTCACGCGGTTCCGTTCGGAATTTCATCGAACCCCGTTTTTGGCAGCGTTTTATAGAGCAGGTGCTCGCAGGTCTCGGCGGAACTTGTGTAATCATGGACTATCTGCTAGTGGGAGGCTCTAACGACGAAGGGAATCTGAAGAATTTAGGCGCAGTTCCTGGTCAGTTTCAGAAGTACGGGCTGCGAGTAAAACTACCGCAGTGCGTGTTTATGGCACCATCTGTTATTTGCTTTGGATTTCACTTCTCAGAAAAGGGTATTTAGCCAGCGGGCGAAAACATCAGGGCCATCAACGAAGCACCTGCCCCACGTAAAGTGACGGAGTTACGATCCTTCTTGGGAATGTTAGCAGCGCTAACCAACTTCATCCCTAAGTTATCATCCCTTGTTCATCCTTTGTACGAGCTCCTAGGAAACAAGCCGTGGAATTGGTCGTCGAACTGCGACAACGCCTTCTCTGATGTAAAATGTGCGCTGACATCAGAAACTGTGCTAACGCATTATAACTCTAGCCTTCCTGTAAAGTTAGCGGTGGAAGCTTTCCCATATGGTTGGGTGCGGTCATAATGCATGAGTTTCCCAACGGCGAACGACATCTAATTGCCTATGCGTCACGGACATTGAACGAGCACGAAAAGTGCTACAGGCAGATAGACAAGGAAGCTTTGGCGATAATGTTTGGGCTGAAACGATTCCACTTGTACCTATATGGCCGTCACTTCACAATCATAAGCCTATGGATCATAAGCCTATGGAGGGAATTTTTGGTCCTAAAACAGCCATTCCCTTGCTTGCTAGCAGCGATGCGTCTACAGCGATGGTTAATTATTCAGCTTTCAACTACAGCATCAAGTTCGTTCCGTCAAAGAAAAATGCAGTAGCTGCGCACTGTCAAGGCTGCCCTTGCCGTCAACGCCCAATGACGAAGATTCTGCATACAATGTTGAAGAGCGGCTGATCCAGTCCTTACCCATTACGCACAAGGATATAAGCCATGCGCGAGAGTAGACGCAGTACTCTCGAAGGTGTTAGAATATGTCACTCACGGTTGGCCAAGGCAGGTGGAAGATTTGCGCCTCCAACCCTATTTTAATCGTCGATTCCAGTTGTCTGTACTAGAGCAAGACTGTCTTTTGTAAGGACGTCAGGTACTTATACCTACTCGGTACCAGGAAGACATGTTACAAGAATTGCACTCAAGCCACCCAGGGATTGTACGAATGAAGGAGTTGGGACGTAGTTGCTTATGGTGGCCTAACTTCGACCAAGAAATTGAAAAAAACTGTGAGAGATTGCAAAAGCTGCCAACAAGTTAAGAAGCCACCAACTGTAGCACCACTTACTCCTTGGTTATGGCCGAGTGACCAGTGACATCGCATCTGTATAGATTACGCTGAAGACGAAACCGGGCATTACTTCATCCTTGTTGATGCACGTTCTTGCTGGCCAGAGATCTAGTTTATGCAAAAAAAAAACAGTTCAACAACTTCGACCGTTGCTATCTTACCGGAACTTTTTTCCAAATACGGATTTCCGGTGCATTGCGTCAGTGACAATGGTCCGCAATTTCCCAGCGAGGAGTTTGCACACTTCTTAAAGATGAATGGTGTTAAGAGCGGATGTCTGTAAATATCGACCAGAGGTGGGAAAAATAAAATTTTTGAAAAATCCCCAAAAAATTATGTAAACTCCCCTAGGCATTCTAGTAATGACAATATAAATTTTAGTTTCATTGGATAAATATTTTGGCGATACGGCGAATGTCAAGTTCGGGCGATTGACGGCCTCCGGCAGGCCGCTTTTTCGGGCCCCTAGACCGGGCTACGAAAAGACCACGATTTCAATCGGATTCAAATATCATTCAACCCAAATAGCTTCTTATCGTATTAAAAGGGGTTTAAAACACATACTGAGCGGTCATGTTCTTGAATTGATCGCAACTGGAATATTTTATGGATTTTTAAATATTTACAAAATTTTAAGGCTTTTACGCGAGCAAAATATTGTCAGATTTCAAAGGTCTACAGTCACATCCGATACATGATTTCTAACAGAAAAAGAAATTCTACGGTAAGAAGCAGTCTCTAAGTTTTTAAAATATGCTTTCAAAACTCTGGGCAACATATGAAATGAATTTTTGGGAACGCAAAATTTACAGAGCACTTGAGTGTAATTTGACCTTTCTGACTGGACAGTCAAGAGGTTCGGCGCGACACAAATCATTCCTCCAACAAATGTTTCAGCCAAAATACGTTTAATTTAGGCAATCTCAAATCCCACAGTTATACATAGATGCTTCATATACATTAGGTGGAAAGTTTCATGCCATTTTGTCAGCCGTAAAGAACTATTTCTCTGGCCTTCGGGTGCAGTAGTTGAAC